AAAAGAATTTCTATTTTTGAAAAACAAACAGAATTACAGAAACCCCAAATTGAATCAAAAATCCCGAACTGGATAACAGGAAGCCGACCTCCGCTGTAACAATGGCGTCCCCGAGACCATCGATTACCCTTTTTGTGTCCCTTTTCAGCTTAATGTCCATTGGGGTGCTCGGCGACAACAACAACCACGTGTACTCGCCGTGCGCCGACGCGTCCGTGCAGAGGTCCGACGGATTCACCTTCGGGATCGCGTTCGCATCGAGGGCGTCGTTCTTCTTCAATAACTCCCAGCTCTCTCCCTGCGACCGCCGCCTCTCGCTCGCATCCGCCAATTCTCAGGTCGCCGTCTTCCGCCCTAAGGTCGACGAGATCTCGCTCCTCACCGTCAACACTTCCAACTTCTTACCGGTACAGATTTTTTTTATTATTATTTTTTTGAATTAAGCTGAGTATATGCTGATATTGAGTTATTTGTTTGCTGATTTCTTATTTTCATTTTTTTTCTTTATTGTTTGATTAAGTTCTGGTTTTGTGTTTTCTTGTAGGATTTGTTCGATTAGCTTTGTTATATTGTTATTCGGACTGTTTCAATGGAATTACGATTTGCTTGTGTTGTAATTTGTGTTAGTTATGACTTCATTGTTGGGCAGTGCTAGAAAAAAGACTGAAGAAAGTTAAACTGATTGGAATAATAATTAGTCGTGATTTTAGATAATATGGGTTAACAAGTATTCTATGATTGGAATAAGTATTAATTGTGTTTTTAGATAATGTGGGTTAACAACTATTCTCTGATTAGATTTAGTTCTGGATTCGGCGTGATATGGAACTCTGTGCACGGAAAAGTGGTCGAGAAATGAGATTCGGTCAAAAAAGTATTCTCTGGTTGACGTGCACGGATCTTTCTACATACCTCTGTTTACGATGAACTTCTGGTTTTGTCTTTTCTGGTTGGATTTGATTGATTATCTTTGTTTAGATTGTTATATGGGCTGGTTTGAAAGGTATTCCCACTTTGCTTGTGTTGTATTTTGTGTTAATTATGACTTCTTTGCTGGAGTGGACAGTCCAAGAAAAAACTAAAGAAAGTTAAACTGATTGGAAGAAGAATCAGTTGTGCCTTTTAGATAATATGCGTCGACAAGTGTTCTATGAATCTATGATTGGATCTAATTCTGGAATTCGGAGTGATATGAAATTCCGAGCTCACAAATGTTGTTGAGAAATAAGATACGGTCAATGACTATTACAGTGACGTGCAGATCTTGCTAATAACTCTGTATTTAGTATTATGATGTCTCAAGATAGAAACCTTAAAATTGTTGTCCATAGTAACACATAACGATGCAAGAATTTCTTAGTCTATTCAGAATTATATTAGTTATTTTTGAAGTAGAAGAGTGTTTGTTTCTCTTGTTGGTAGTACCTGGGTTTGTTGGGAGGAGACCAGTTTGTTAACCTGTCATGGGAGCTTAGTGGTTAGTTATTTACCTGTATGTTTGCGAGAATTCATGCTCTACATTAGTCAACCTGACATCATTTTTCATCTTTTAAAAGGGTATTTACAAAATCCTTGAATTAAGAAAAGGTGACAGTTGCTTACAATCATTATCTAGACTTTTCCAAAAACTGGTCTCTTTGCGCACATTTCGAGCTGTTTGAACGGTTTGTAAATTATAACGACTTGGTCGTAAGCTATTTGCCAATGTGCTCTCAGAAACAGTCGTGTTTAACTCCATAGCATATAGAAGCTTGCCTCAATCTCAAAGTTTAACATTAGATTTGGTACCACTTTTTATTCTTGGTCCTGGGATTAGCAGAAAAGTTCTAAAAATATATGTAAGTTCAAAACATTGCTAGCAATGATAGTAGAATCCCATGATCAAAGAAATGTTAGGGTGCAGCTTTAAGCGTATGTCAAATCATTGCAGGAAGGAAAAACTGGTGAAAACCAAACTCATTTAGGGTTTGGTGTTCACATGGTATTCGACTTTCCTTTCAGTATTAGTTAGTCCAAAAAAAAAAAAAAAAAAAAAAAATTGGAAATATTTTTGTGGATAAGGTGATTAATGAAATGGATTCCTGGTGATCTTTGCTGATATGTTAGTGATGCCACTTAACTGAATAGTGTAGATTATTTTTTCTTTGTTTCGTTCTTAAAGAAGACTAGTATAAAGATTTTAATCGATGCAAGTTTTCTTAGGCCCTACTTATTCATCCAATTTTCTTTTCTTTTATCTTTCCCAACTCGAACTGTGCAGGATTCATATGGCGGTTATATGGTGGCATTTGCTGGCCGAAGATATGCTGCCCGGTCGCCTCCTGCTTTCGTTGCAAACAGTACATTTATAGTTACCAGTTTTACCCTGGTAAGAAGCTAAGCAGTTATTATATCATATTCACCAACTAGAATTAGATTATCATCTTTATTCAAAAAAAAAAAGAAAAAAGAATTAGATTATCATCCATATAATTAGCTTTTATCATCCTCGCTTGAATGCAGGTTCATGAATTTAGAAAGGGGAGGCTGCAAAACTCATTCTGGAAAAGAGACGGGTGTGCTGCTTGCTCGGGCAGGTCGAATTTCGTCTGCCTCAATAATCAAGACTGTGCTATCCGAACCAGTAGCTGCAGGGGTCGAGGCGGGTCGGTAGATTGCAGCCTCGGTATACAGCTGGCATTTTCAGGCACGGACAAGCACGAGTCGGTTTTGAACTCATGGTACGAGGTTAAGAACCTACGCCAGTATTCCCTATACGGCCTTTATTCTAATCTCCGGGACTCACTCACCAGCCAATACAACAGATTTTTCTAATTGAGATCATCTATTTATTCGGTAATTCCTTGTTTCGAGTTTTATCTTTGTCAAGCTTTACTTCGTGTATTCGTGTGTGTATTTCGTGGTTGTATAAAGTTGAAAAAAGAATGTACCTGCCCGCCTCAGTATGTTGTGATTTTTACGTATGACGATGTTCGGAACTTGAGTTTGGTTCGTTATTAACGTCATATTTTTGCACTGGTAAAAGAATTTGTAAACTTGTAAAGTATCATATATGAATATTGGGATGAGATCCTCTGTTACATGTTGTGATTTTGTCTTATACTTGAACAAGCTCTGTGAATGGCAAGTTTTGGAACATATGAAGAATGGAACATATGACGTCATTATCCTATTCCTATGGCAAATTTGACATAATCTGGCCATAGGAACTTTTTACCACACAATCACTTAAGTTTGGTTTTGATTAGATTTTTTTAGTTTGAAATGGTTAATTTTGAAAAAAGTGGTATGGTTAGTTTTTAATGGGATTTTGAGTTTATATTTGAATAATATATAAAATAAAATAATTAAAATTGATTTGATGTAAAGTAGGAGAGATGTGATGTGAAGTGATGATTAACTAAAATTAAGTGAGCAAATAAATAGTGAATTAAACTTCATGCATAGTTTTTAAATCCAACCCAGTAATCGACCCGGGCAGGTCTTCGGGTCATCGGGTACCGGTTCAACTGTCGGGTCATCGGGTCAATTGTTGAATCGAATAATTAATTTTAAAATTTTAAAAATTATATATAGAATATTTTTGTCATAAATATACATAAAAGTAACAAAATTAAATGTTTTGTGTAAAAATATAGACATTAAAATGTCAATAATATGTATCTCATGATAATATTACCATATAAACATATATACATAGTTTTATTTTGAAAAAAAAAAATAAGAAAAAAAAAATTATGGGTCGGGTTGACCCGACAGAGTCAATACACCGGGTCAAGGCCGGATTGGCCGGGTTTTGACCGGGTCCTTTGTTGCCCAGTCCAAATAGCCCACCCGGACCAGTTCTGGCTCCGGGACGTTCCGGGTAAAAAAACTATGGCTTGATGTAATATGTAAGGGTGATGATTGATATTATTTAATTATATTAATAATATTTAAGATAGTGGATTTGAGTTAAAGTTGAGTTAAAATTGAGTTAAAATGAGTGATTTGTTAAAAATAATTAGATATTTTTAGATAAATTTTTTTTCAAACATCCCTTAAAGCTCACATTCTCGAAAGCTCGCTTGAATGTATGAAAGGAAAAAATGCATATTTGGTCTATAGTAATTTTAGGTTCAATGTTCTAATTTTTCACCTTTTGGTCATTTGATTTGATATAAGGATTGAAATTGCAAGAAAATTTTTAAGTTACATGACTGAAATTGCAACATAATTTTAAATTACGTGACTTAAATTGCTAATTGAAAAAAATAGGAATTTATTGTAATTTCAATTCTCAAATGAATGAAATTGCATCAAAATATTAAATCATATGATCAAAAGGCGAAATGTTGGAACAATGAGAACAAAATTGCTATGACGTTAAATTATAAGACTAAAAATAAAATTTTGCATGTATGAATTCTTTAAAAATTCCTAATTAAGTATTTTTTAAATGAATATAATAGTGGAGCATATTACATTCGAATCAATCTCGAGTGCTTATGTTTTTTATTGAGTCGAGCCAATCATCGAGCAATACGAGCTCATCGAGCAATACGAGCTCATCGAGTTCAAGCTCGAGCATATGTCAATGAAATCGAGCTTGGCTAGATAATATCGATGCACGAGCATTGGCTATCGAGCTTGGCTAGATAATATCGATGCACGAGCATTGGCTTGACTCATTTGTAGCATGAACTCACATGCATTGACACACCAACACATGGCTAGATAATGTCGATGTTTGGCTCGACTCAATTGAAAAACATGAACTTTCGAGATTGCCTCGAATGTAATCTACTAGAATATTGCATTTAAATTTAAAAACGATGGATTTTGCTCAAATCTCCCATATGTATAATTATCAAATGAACTGAGCCTAAGTGGAAGGCTCGCACGCTTCGAGATCCTATGTGATAAATTTTTAAGCTTCGTTGTTTGACTTGGATGAATTTTAATTTATTTCAATTCAAAAGTAACTAGGCTTGGAATATCTATAAATATATTAGATATTTGTGGCCCTTTTAAAAAGCATTAATTATATTTTAATATTATTTCCTATTATAGACGTAGTTTATTAGGTATAATTTTGTTCCAATCTTTGTTTTTTCCACATATTTATTTATAGTTTTAACAAATTGACTAACTTAAATTATACATATATTTAAAAGTTAACAATTTTTTATTTATTAATAAGTTTTTTATACATAATATATCAAATTAATCATGTTTTGTTGAGATTGATTTGACATCTATATTATACACAAAAAATAAATAAGTAATTTTATTTATTTTTATAATTAAACTAAATTATCTATTAATATTAATTCAAAAAATTAAAATTACTTAAACTAACGTAACTACAAAATATTTATCTTATATAAATAAAACATATATTTGTTGTGTAAGTGACAATATCGTTTTAAATTTAAATATATTATATATTTAAAAAAAAGGATTTAGAAACTAAATTAATATTTGTTGTTATTATTATATACTTTTAAATATAATTTTCTGAACAATTATTAGTGAAGTACACGATTATTGTACTAGTCGTTATTATAAATACAGAGAACCATCATTTTCAACATAAAAGTTGATAATAACATCAATCAGAATCCAAATGGATATAATTTTAGTTGTTATACAGATAGTCAACTACCCTTGACTATTTTGACCTAACAATATTTATTTGCAATCGTAAAAAATCTATATATATATAAAAAGATTTACCATTTTTCAAAAATAGCAGGTCAAATTTTAGTCAAAATCATTTTGCATTAATTACATTTCATTCTTAGTAACTTTTTTTTTTTTTTTTTTTTTTTTTTTTTTAAAAAAAGACAACATTAAATGCTACCCATTAATTAAGGATTTTGTTATGTTGGTTTTCAACAAAACCATGAATGTTGCTTATTATTTGGGGCTGATGTTGTTTTATTTTTAAAAAATCATGTTTAATAAAAGAAATAACTATATATTACCCTAAATTGTTGGATAATTAAATTGTCTTGTTTTGCGTCTTTACTTGTTTAATAAATTAATTAGTGTTGATTTAATACTCAACTGGTCAAACATTTTTTTTTATTTCAAATTAAAATAGTATGTATAACCGATAAAAAAAGAATTAAATACGTATAGATAATATATTAATTATTTTACAAGCTAGTCCTAATATACAAGTGAAAAATATATGATAACCCTATTGGTTTTTAGACTTAAACGAACAGAGTCGTCTGAAAATAATTCATTTAATATCTATGTCCCGTGCATTGCACGGGGTACGTACTAGTTCTAAGGAAAATGAATGAAAGTTGATAAAAACGAATCATCACTTTAACAAAATAATTTCACCATCCCCTCCTTTGCGTGATTCTACTAATCAATTTAAAAGGCCAAATGAGAGGTGTTTTTTTTCGAATTATTTTAAAGTTAGTACTTTATTTAGAAGATTACATCATTAAAAAGATTGTATGCTAATTAATAACTCATTGCTGGCTTATTAACTGCCCCACTCATGATGATGCTAGTGCTTTTATTTATACTATGTTATTATCATTTTATTCTATATTATTTATATATATATATATATATATAATTGTTGGCATATAGGATTTAATTTTACCTATTTAATAAAACCTCTAAAATTTTTCCTCCATTTTCGGTTACAAAATTTATCATTAATGTTTTTTACTTCTCACATTAATACATTCTATTGAGTGTAATCATAAATTTTTCTATTATATGATATAATAGTTATTGCTAATACCAACTAATAATAATTCACAATAAATATAAATTGCATAATTAAAAAATAATTGTTTCAAGTTATTTATTTAACATCACTATTATCTTTTTCTTTTGTATTTCATGAAAAAAATTCTTTAAAAAAAATTAGTAAATTGTTTTAACAGCATAGTCAAAAAACTTTAGAATCTTATAAACAGTTGTTTTTTTAATAATAATAATAATAATAATAATAATAATCAACCTGTTATTATCTAATAATAATAAACAATTGTTCGTAATCATAAAATCGTTAATTTATTTTTATAATAATCAAAATTTTAAAAATGTAATATGTTCATTATCTAGAATTTTAATATTAAATCTTGTGCATGTGCACAGGATATTTACTAGTATATATAATTGCTAGCAAAAAATTTAGTAAAATCTCATAAATTTTACCTCATAAATTATACCTACATGTCACCTATTAAATGATACATACATGGCACCTATTAAATTATACCTACCTAGCACCTATGTGGCATTTTTACTCTAATAACTGTTACAATCTATTATTATTATTATTATTATTATTATTATTATTATTATTATTATTATTATTATTATTATTATTATTATTATTATTATTATTATTATTATTATTATACATTAATTCACCATATCCCATTAATGATAATATATTTTCTTGCACTTTTTTTTTAGTTAAATAAGACAAAAATTAGGCTATGTAAATTCGATTCTCTCAAAGGGGAGCTTGAATTCTCTCAAAGGAGAGCTTGAATTCCTTCGGGGAGGGTGGGATTTCTTAGAGTTTGTTAGCGTTATTCTTCCTTTTCGTTTTATCTTTCTCTTCTTTCTGAGCGTGGGGAGTGTTTGGTGTGTTCGTTTTCTAAATTCTAGGGTTTTCTTTGGGCTCTTTTTGGGGGGTCTCAGGGATGGGGAGCAAACCCCTGGGTTTTTGTGCGGGTGGAGAATTAGATGAGGGAATGATGAAGAAGCTGCAGGCTATATCTCTATCTGCTCATGAAGCGGACGACATAGAACTGCAGTCTAGAGACATAAAAACTAGTGAGGAGGAA